ATCACAATGAGTAGTTTCGTCGGCGACAAATCGCAAACCAAGGGTGTACTTCCGTTAACTGTGACTATTGCCGGTCGCACTCACATGACCGCTTTTTTTTTGTAGTTGATTCCAAAACCGAGTATAATGCACTGCTCGGTCGAGATTGGATTCATCAAACCAGTTGTATTCCTTCCTCATTGTATCAAGTGCTTGTTTTTTTGGGACGGCAAATCGGTCACTGTTCACCCAGCCGATAACCAGCCCTTTGAAACTAACATGATCCAAGCACGGTATTATGATGACCACGTCGGCTACATTACTTTGCAAGGCTTCAATGATGAAGGCCGGCCGACTCGGATTTCTGTACAGAAAGCTATCGAGGTTGGCGCCGAGACTGTCTACCAGGATTCGGCGAGACTCGGATTAGCCAATTTCCTCCCCGAGGCCGATGTCTGACACCGATCGAGAAGCACGTAGGGCCGCGGTTTCATCTACTATGGAACGACTGCTGGCCCATTGGTATACTATATCTAAACAGCCAAATTCGGGCGTTAACCTCGTCGAGTTCCTGGCCGAAGGAGATAATGGTCCTGTTTTGTCTCTTGATAAAATTCAAGCCGCCCCGGCCGCGCTCGAAGACCATCGGCCCCAAGTTAAGGATCCCCTGGAAGAGATTAATGTTGGGACGGCCGATGACCCACGGCCTTTGTTTATTAGTGCTTTACTTCCCCAACAAATGAAAGATGAGCTTCGTGCCTTGCTTACGGAGTTCAAAGATTGCTTTGCTTGGAGCTACCATGAGATGCCCGGCTTAGATCGTACTCTTGTCGAGCATGAGTTACGTATTAAGCCCGGATGTAAACCTTTCCGTCAGCCACCGCGTCGATTTTCGACGGAAGTGCAACTCAGCATCAAGGACGAGCTGGTTCGGCTTTTGAAAGCCGGGTTTATTCGGACAGCTCGATATGTTGAATGGTTGGAGAATATCGTTCCTGTTTTAAAGAAAAATGGTGCACTGCGCATATGCATCGATTTCAGAAATCTGAATCTGGCAACTCCCAAAGATGAGTATACAATGCCGATTTCAGACCTGTTAATCGACGCCGCGGCGAATCATGAGATGTTATCCTTTATGGATGGGCATGCTGGGTACAATCAAATATTCATGGCCGAAGCCGATGTGCATAAAACTGCTTTCCGTTGCCCGGGGGCACTCGGTACTTACGAGTGGGTTGTTGTGCCATTCGGCCTCAAAAATGCCGGCGCCACATACCAACGAGCGATGAACACCATCTTCCACGACTTAATCGGAACCATCGTCGAAGTTTACATCGACGACGTTGTCATCAAATCTAAACGCCGACGGACACATCTGGACGACCTCCGACAGGCTTTCCTCCGCATGCGTCAGCACCACCTCAAGATGAATCCTGCCAAATGTGCTTTCGGCGTGTCGGCCGGAAATTTCCTTGGTTTCCTCGTGCATCACCGTGGAATTGAAGTCGATGCGAATAAAGCACGCGCAATCGTCGATGCCCCACCCCCAACGACGAAGAAACAACTCCAGTCCTTGCTTGGCCAGATCAATTTCCTCCGCCGATTTATTGCTAACTCGGCCGGTAAAATGAAAGCGTTCTCCACGCTTTTGAAACTCAAGGACTCGGATAAATTCGTGTGGAACGGCGAGCATCAGGCGGCGTTTACACAGATCAAAGTATCCCTCACGAAACCCCCTGTCATAGTTCCCCCTCGGCGTGGTAAACCTCTGAAGCTCTATATCTCGGCGGCCGAAGAATCTATCGGCTGCCTCCTCGCGCAAGACAATGATGCCGGCCGAGAGCAGGCTATATTTTATCTAAGCCGGAATCTCAATCAACCAGAGATCAATTATCCCGCCGTCGAGAAACTGTGTCTCGCCGTATTTTTCGCCGCATCCAAGCTCCGGCATTACATGCTCCCGTCGGTCACCCAAGTCATTGCCCAGACCGACGTTATCCGGTACATGCTTACCCGACCAATCGTCAAAGGCCGAATTGGGAAGTGGACAATGGCGTTGTCCGAATTTAGTTTGCAGTACGTGCCGCAAAAAGCTGTGAAGGGACAAGCGTTGGCCGATTTCCTTGCTCAGCACCCTTCGCCTTATGGTTTCGGGGATGCTGACGTCGAAATCGGCATGGTGGTGACCCGCGACAACTATTGGACGATGTATTTTGATGGTTCCAGTACTTCGTCTTCGGCCGGCGCGGGCATCGTCATTCAATCTCCTCACAACGATCGCTGGTATTTTTCGCTCAAATTGGATTTCGAGTGCACTAATAATCAGGCCGAATACGAGGCTCTTGTCATTGGTCTTGGCCTCCTTCTTGACCTTCGAGCCACTCGTGCCCTCGTCCTCGGTGATTCTGAACTCGTGATTAACCAAATTAATGGGTCTTTTCGTTGCATGAGTTGTACTCTGGCGCCCTACCACATGGTCGCCAGCTATTTGGCCGAGTCTTTTGACGGTATTACATTCGAGCATATTTCTCGGGTTCATAATACCGACGCAGACGAGTTGGCTCAGATCGCCTCCGGTGCTCAACTCATGGGGGGCAAGCTAGGCCGGGAGATACCAATATTACGACAGCTATACCCGGCCTTGGTTAATCAGCAAATCCTCCGTCGAGACAATGTGATCCGCACCAGGGTCATGTCCTTGCCTTCGTTGTTGGATCGGCAGGACTCTATAGAAATTTGCGCGGCCGAGGCTATACCAGATGATTGGAGGAAACCCATTATGCAGTACCTTGATAATCCTAACGGGACACATAGTCGCAGGACACGGGTTCACGCCATGAACTATGTCACGTACCAGAACGAGTTGTACCGAAAGGGCGAAGATGGTTTGTTACTGCTATGCCTCGGCCCCCAAGAGAGTGCTCGGGCGATCGCAGAGGTTCATGAAGGGGTATGCGGAGCTCACCAATCTGGACGGAAAATGCGATGGCTACTCCGACGACACGGCTATTTTTTGGCCGAAAATACTGAAAGATTGTATCGAGTTTGCACGAGGATGCGTGCAGTGCCAAATCCATGGGCCTATACAAAGGGTCCCGGCCGAATCACTACATTCGGTCATTAAGCCGTGGCCGTTTAGAGGATGGGCCATGGACGTAATCGGCAAAATCACGCCGACTTCTGGAGCTGCTAAGCATGCATGGATAATAGTCGCAACTGATTACTTTACTAAGTGGGTCGAAGCAAAATCATATGCCGAGTTAACATCTAAAGAAGTTTGCGACTTCGTGGAGGAACACATTGTGACTCGGTTCGGTGTACCAGAAACAATCATAACCGACAATGGAACAATCTTCACAGCCGAAAGGTTTAAAGAATACACGGCAAATTTGAACATTCGGCTGGAGCAGTCCACATCGTATTATCCACAGGCGAATGGGCAGGCCGAAGCAAGTAATAAAGTGTTGATCGGCATCCTCGAAAAAATAATAAAAGACAGGCCTGGCATGTGGCATTTGAAGTTGAACGAGGCATTATGGGCATACCGAACGTCGCCCCGATCGGCGACTGCAACAACCCCATACGCATTAACCTACGGACACGATGCAGTGCTACCAGTCGAGTTGAGCATAAATTCGTTGCGATTAATTGAACAAAGTAGTTTGTTTAGCGCCGAATACAATCAGTCCATGAGACAGGAACTAGAAGATTTGGAAGAAGCGCGACTTGACGCGTATAACTTACTAGTGGCGCAAAAAACAGATTGCCGAGCGAGCCTATAATCAAAAGGTGCGACAGAAAACGTTCGGCGAGGGTGAATTGGTATGGCAAACGGTGTTGCCCGTAGGACTAAAAGATCCTAGGTTCGGCAAGTGGTCGCCGAATTGGGAAGGGCCGTTCATTGTGCATAAAGTATACGGTAAAGGGGCGTATCATCTTAAAGATCGGACTGGTGTGATTCACAAATTACCGATTAATGGGAAGTTTTTGAAGAAATACTATCCAGTTACTTGGGAAATGCGTGAGTAAAAAATCAATCCATTAAAATTGATAAGTATTTACAAATGAGTAGGACGGTTGGTTTACATTCAAATATATCTAAGGAGAAGAGGGAAGAAGAGTGCTGAGCAGAGCCTTCAGCTCCAACCACCGCACGTCGGCCATGATGACTTCGGCCTGCCGATTCTTTTTATCCAGCTTCAGCCGCTCGACTCGTTTGTTGGCCGCCGCATACTCAGTTAGGCGATCATTCCCGCCTGACTCGAAGTCCCTCGCAAGCTCAGAAGCAATGGCCGACCGACGTTTTGCTAGTTCGGCCATCTGACGGTCGAGCTCGGCTAACGTTTCTCCTTTTGCCCCGTAGATCGTCAATCTTCGGACGGAGGGTGTCTTGAACGGCCATGGCGGCTTGCAGGTCCTGTTCGGCCTTCAGAGCAGTCTGGAAGATACTAAATGTCTCCCGAACGCGCTCCAAGGCAGACGATGCCCGGACAATGGCATCTCCGCTCAGGCGACCATCGGCTCCAAGGTCGTTCAGACACACGCCGAGCAAATCGAGACCGTTGCGCTCAAGAACTTGCGATGATGAGAGCGCTAGGACTTCTCGCAGCTGGGTTAGGGCACTTGGATCGGCAGCATCAGTCGAAGCGGCCGAAGGGCCGGACTCTGCAGTCGTGCTGGAGATGAGGGCTTTGAATTCAACCTCCCATGAAGCCTGCACAAATAAACAAGGTTAAGTTTAAAGGAAGTCATGACAAGAATAGCAAGAAGGTGTCGTGTTTTAACCTGCCGAGAGGAGACCTCGGCCATGTCCCCAGGATCGTTGCTCGAACCTAAAGAACTCAATGGCCGAGCCCAGTGTCTCAGATTGCTTCTCACTTCACGCGGCCGATGGAGGTTATCTACGTTTGATGGCCACTGAGGCGGCCAGGAAAATATAGATAACGCCCTTCGGCGCATAGAATTGACGGTGAAAAGAATGTATAGGCACCTGACATTTGGTTTTTTCTTTGTTTAGAGGTCTAAAGCGGAAAAGTAATCAGGAGGAGACGAGTGAAGGTACTTACAAAGGCCGAGGTAACCTCCTGTGGAGGAATATGGAAGCCTTGGTCTTGGGGATGGACCGGCGATTCCGCCGTAGCCTCGGGTTCCTCGAGCAGCCGTTTGCCCCGGTCGGCTGCCGATGGGCCGACTGGCGCAGCTGCTTCAGAGGAGGCAGGGACGCCCTGGTCCTGAGAAGGAACGAGAGGTTCGGCCACCGGGATCGGTTCCTCGACCGTGCGCTTGCCACGATTAACCGGGGAGGGGCCGGTTTGAACCGCCATCTCGGGTATTGGAGAGAGGTTGTCGACGAGTATGAGGACGGTGCGCCAGCGGGACCTCGTCGCTCCCCTCGCTTTCGTCCAACACAAGGACCGAGGGCTTTGGATTCTTGGGAGAAGTTCCCTCGGTCGTGAAACCGCCTGTTGAGAGACAGGTGCCTTCTCGGCAGAGGGAGGTACAACTGATGCGCCGGCCACAGAGGCAGGCCGCGCTGGGGCCGTCTCTGCGGCCGAGGCCGGCTGTGTCTCGACCCCAGAATGGCCGGCGGCGGGAGAAGAAGCACTGGGAGTCGTCGTGTGACTGGAGATAACGTGGATCTCCCGGGCACCCTTCTTCGCCATTTGTTTGACCCGCTTGGCTGGCGGGGAAGGCTCGACAGCCGGCTCGGCCTCTTGGCGAGGCCGTTTGATCAGCACGGCCCTACCAGCGGGTTTGTCCTTTTGGGCCACGACCGATTTTTTCCCGGTCGTGGCAGCGGCAACTGCCTCCGTCTTTCTCAAAAGGCCGACTACCTAAAAAGATAAAGACAACTCAGTAAGGCAACTCAATATGCAAGGTTGATGGAAAGGAAGAAAATGAAACCGGTACCTTGAGGATGAGGGGCCGAGGCCTTCTTAGGCCGGTCACCAAAGAGTCTGCTAAGCACGTCTTCGACCGGCGCACCAAAGAATTCCTGGGTGTATTGCTCCCACCACTCACCAAAGGTGTCGGTGCATTGGGTTTCCGGGGTGGCTGGTCGAAGGCGGAATTTTTGGCAGCGCTCTTGGAACTCCTTCACGGCGATTCTACATTCCTTCTCAGAGGAACGAGGTTCGCGTCCACGGCTTAGGACCGTTCGGGAGAAGAGAAGGGGGATAGGGCAGCCCTGAAGGTAGCCGAGCTGTCGGGCGAGGAAGTTCGGATGATATACTTCCCATCCTGACCGTTTCCCATCGCAGCCGAGAGGGAGGTCGCGCGGGCAAGCACAAACGACCCCCAGGTCTGACGGAGATCGGCGTCCTCCTCCGCGCTCCATGAGGAGATAGGCAGCCTGATGGAGGAAGGATAGTCTCGACGACGACATATTAGGAACTCGTCGTTGGAGAAGTCGTCGAGGGCGAAGAGGTACCGAAATACCTCTTCGGCTTGATGGGGAGGTGTCGGTCGAGAGGCCAATTGAGACCCAAGCGCCTCTGTTGGTGAGAATTCGGCTATGGCCGGCCGAAGGGAGGTGAAGTATACCTGCAACCAGAGTTGGAAGACCCAGAGAGGACCATTCTGGTGCGGGTCGACCTTTTGGAGGGTCGCCTCGGCCAGGCAGCGGAAAAGTTGGGCGAGAATGTTGGAACTCAGCGCCAAGACGTGACCACTGGCCAGGGCTTCGGCTACCGGCATGTTCTCGACCAAACACTTGTTTGACTTGGTACAACAAATGTATTTGTTGTACCAGTAGAAGAGGAAAGCTTCATGCTCTCCCTCTCGCAGGTCCTCTTCTCCTCGGCCGGCGAAGTGAAAGATAGAGGGTGTTGTAATTACAGAAGTTCTTGTGGAGCTTCTGAATATCTTCCTTCGACGGGATATGACCGTCACGGCTCAAGGTCTCGAAAGGCCCGACGGTCGAAGAGCGTTTTCAGGTCGATATTCGACGGATGCCCAGAGAGGGTCGCGTCGACAGGGATCCCGGTCGCCGAAGTCCCCAGAATGGCAGTAATATCCAGGACGGTGGGACCCATGGGACCCAGAGGAAGGACCATTGTGTTGGTAGCCGAACACCAGAAGCACAGAGCGGCTTGGAGAAGTTCCTTGTCGGGGACGATTTCCATGGACGAAAGGAGGATGGCGTCGTAGATGCCAAAGGGCCTTCCATTGCTCGCCGAAGAGTCGTTCCATTCGAACGACCCAGGCTGCCCAGGATGTGGTCGTCGAGGGCCAGGAGCCCTGGGGTTTAGCCGCATCCCATCGCGACCGTTCAAACCCTCGAAGCAAGGGTTTTAGGCAGTGCTCCTGTAGAAGGCCGATGATAGTCGGCGGTATTGTAGCCTTGAAAGAGAGGACCCAGGATTTGGTACTGGGTGTTCATGTCGTTTTCAAACCGGATGGTCTTGATCGAGCTCCGATCAAGGATCTTCGGATGTTGGTCACATTCCCTGGAAAGCTTGGAGATGAAGGATGCCATTATGAAAAAAGAAGCACGGAGTAAAAGGGTTTTTCTGGGTTGGGGATTTAAAGACGAAGACTCGGAATAGGAGAGGCACTAGAAATCAATGGCAGAGAATTTTGGGAAGTTTGAGAGCGTAAAAGTACAAATGAGGAAAATTTCGGTATTTATAGAGTTGTGGGGGGAAGAGCAATCGTTCGAAATTCAAAACAAAGGGCAAAATCGATCAAAGAAATAACCAAAGGAATTGTTGATCATGATGAACATTTGGGAATGCGGTTGAGAAGACCGAAGGTTTAGGGTTTTGGGGCGCACGATTGCGTGTGACGGCTAAATTAATGACGAAAAGACGGTTCGACGACCGCACGATGACAAATGGGCTCACGGACTGAGGTAGTGGCTCGCGGATTGAGATAGTGGTCATGATGGCAAGACAGTTCAGGCTGCCGCACGCCTTAGACGTCATTATGTGGGATTGGCCATATTAGAGGACGCCACGTGGTGAGTAGGTTAGCAGGATCAAGATCGTGCGATCGTGCTCAATAAATGCGCCTTGGAACTCGGGTATGAGGATTCTGAGTGGTAGATTTGCTTCTTCAAGGCCGGAACTCGGCCGAAGATTGCAGGCCGAGGACCTCAGAAGCGAGGGGGCAATGTTTGGGCCCAAAATAATAGTTTGGGCCGAGTGTAGAACCATTCTCGGCCCGGAAGGCCTTGCGACAAGAAGACCATGGATCGTTCAGCTTATGGGCTTCCAAACCTAGGCCGGTTAGGTCAAAATGCAATGACAAGCCGAGTCCTGATACAATAGGGATTCTCGGCAGGATTAACAGCCTAGAAGCGGATAGGGCTCGAATAAGGACTAGGTTCACAATCCTAATGAAAACAGGACTGGTCGAGGTGATATTGATCCGGAGAGGGAAAACCTAGTCCGAATAGGATTCTATCTCAGATTCGGGGTCCAGTGCTATAAATAGCGGAAGCTGTGCATCAGGAAACCCCCGACAAAAATCAACACAAAATTGCCCTGCGCAAACTCTCACAACTTGAGATCTTTTTCTTTTCCCTTTTTCGCTGACACATCTTCCGTTGGCATCAACAGCACTGTGGAAGCAACCGGTGATATCTTAAGTCGGCATAGATAGCTCTGTCACCGTAGAATTGGTCGGTCTCGCAGTATCTTCCGTTGGCATCAACAGCACTGCGGCGAGAACGGTCGATTACCTATCCAAGTCTCGGTCGAGAAGGGTTTTCGAATCCTTGTTGGTCGAGGTCATCTCATTAGCCTTCTCGGCGAGGTGAGGTGTCACAGTTATTACATTCGGCACATTGAAAGCCGAATTCGGTTCATGAACTTTGTAAGAAATAGCAGCCTTGTCTTCAGGCTCGAGAACCCAAGAGGCCGAGACGTGTTCCTTTCTCGGCCGCAATCGCAAGACGCAGAAGTCAGTAGCGCGACCCAACGCAACATCATCAAATTTACTCCTCGGCCGAGCCTCGGCCGATGAGTTGGCACGCCCCGCAATCACCGAAGGACGTAGTTAGCTTAGAATATACTCGGCCTGCGCGCCACGTAGGCTTGGTAGATTTTAGGGTCAACACAACCAAAAGAGGGTAAAAAAACAAATTAGTCTTCTATCACACAAAAAAATGATGGACAATAATGTAATTTCACAGGTCCAAAATTTACCTTTTTTTATTGAAACCTCACCTACAAGTGATGTTAAAATATCTCTAATATTAAAAAACAAAAAAACAAAAACCTCCCACTCCCCCGCACTCTCGCTTTCTCATTTTCTAAAAAAAATTATTCATACACACAAAGTGTGTAAGTAAATGCTAATTTACATTAAAAAAAGTTAGTTTAGCATCACAATTAATTATCAAGATACATGGGACATGGGACATGGGAGGAGAGTGGAGGAGAGTGGAGGGGAGCGGAATGGAGTGGAATAATTGAGACTTGTGTTTTGATTCTATCGCTTTTCCACATGCTATAATCGTACTTTCTCAGTAGAAATGTAAAGCCACATGAGCTTCAGCTTAAGTGAAATAATTAAGGGGTTTTTAGATTTAGGTTAAAAAATATAGATAGTTTTTAGGAGTGGGTCCAGTTATCTAATTACATGTTTTTATTTCTTTTATACTTATTTTATATTTTTTATAAATATTAAAAATCAATTAAAATCTTCTAATATTAAGCATTTTTCAACTCCAAAAAAATCTAATTAATATCGTATAACAAAAAAAAAACTAATATACTAACATAAATTATCTACAAAACATTCTACCTTAACTTAAGCAACAAATATATGAATGCATATTATACCTGTAAGCGAGATATGAAACCTAACTAAAAAGTAGAAAAAAAACATAATATATCTACAAGCAAGACATATTAATATGTGACAGGTTGATTAAAAACAGAATCTGTCACATCCCCGCCCGGACCCTCACCACATCCCGGGCTTAACTCCGTCGTAGCATGATATTGTCTACTTTGAGTCTCGATCACGCCCTCACAGTTTTGTTTCTGGGAACTCATATAAGAACTTCCTAGTGGATCACCCATCATGGGATTGCTTTCGCTTAACTTCAGAGTTCCGATGGAACCCGAAGCTAGTGAGCTTCCAAAAGGCCTCGTGCTAAGTAGAGATGATAATATACATATAAGACTTACATGATCCACTTCCCTGGGCAATGTGGGATGTTATAATCCACCCCATTTAGGGGCCCGACGTCCTCGTCGGCACACTTCCGGTTAGGAATTGGCTTTGATACCAAATTGTCACATCTTGGCCCGGACCCCCACCACATCCCGGGCTCGACTCCGCCGTAGCACGATATTGTCCCCTTTGGGCCCCGATTACGCCCTCACGGTTTTGTTTCTGAGAACTCACACGAGAACTTCCCAGTGGGTCACCCATCATGGGATTGCTCTCGCGCGAACTCGCTTAACTTCAGAGTTTCGATGAAACCCGAAGTCAGTGAGCTCCCAAAAAGGCCTCGAGCTAGGTAGAGATGAGAATATACATATAAGGCTTACATGATCCACTCCCCTGGGCAATGTAGGATGTTACAGAATCTGTCATATAGATACATAAAAATAATTAATTAGTGATAAAGGTTGATTATAAAAATTAAAAATAAAATCTATAAATGAGGTTTAAAGCGGGAGAAAGAACAAAAAAAAAATTAAATAAAAAGAAATAATCAAAGAGATAATTAGGAAGAAATTTGATTTTTATAATAAATCTTATTATTGAATAGATAATTATTGATAATTAAATAATTAAATTTAAAGAATTGGACTATTCCTATTATTGGCTAAAAAATTGAACTTATATCAAGTTTCCCCTATTTAAAGTATCAATCAAATAAAAACGTCTGAAATCAAATACAAATTTGTAAATCGCGTCTAGTGCAAGTGATTGGTTAAAGGTCATTTGTTTGCGCATAAGCGCGTGCATAGATACTAGAACGTCATATAAACGTACTCACAAAATTTACGTTCTTATAATCAAGTAACAAATAAAATTACGAACTTGTAGAAAATCCAAGAAAAAGTGGAAATTTAGATGTAGAGATATTCTCAAACACAACCATGTCCAAAAAAAAAAAAATATGTGAAGCTTTTACTACCTCATGGCTTTCTTGTTCTTCATTTACATTTCTGCCTTCCATTTGCATTCTTGAGTTTTCATTTCTCAAAATCATATGATCATCTTTCTCCAATTTGCCTAATTTGTTGTGGCACTTCAATAACTCAATCTGAGATGCCACCTAGTACTATAATCTAGTGATATTTTTCTTCACTTGTAAGTGAGAGGTCTTAGATTCAATTATCACCAAAGACGAATTTGAGCTACATTACTGCTAGTCCATTGTGAGGCTAAGCCCACCCCCTCTCCCTTAGTGTAGATATT